ATTTATAAATAAAAAGTTACATTAATTTAAAGTTTTGTATTTAGCGGTTGCATTACTTTTGTGAGCCACTGTATATAGAAATGTTTTTTATTAACGAACAAATTATGTTTCTTTTTTGGTATTGCATTCAAAATAATTTAAAAAATCAAAAAGTTTTTTTTTGGAATAATTATTTACAAAAAAGTAAAAATAATGAAAAGAAAATGAACCGATTAGGCTTAATGTTTAACATTTGAACTTATAGAAACAAGCACACCAATACATAACCAAAAATGGCTTTCCACTTTGATCAGGAACTGAAGCACTGGTAAAATAGAAGTCACAATGAGAAGTTATCTTATTCGCGACTTTAAAATCGAATTTATTGCAATGACCTCGCAAAGTGCTGTGAACGGTAGAACCTTCGGATTTTATAATGTTTAAAATATCTTTGACGAACTGATTAACTTCGGTTGGAGATAATATGAAGTTATCGAATTTGGCCTGTTAAAAAGAAAAATAAATTTAGTTATTTGAATTCTTTGATAATTTTCAAGGAATGAACGAAATTTATACCTTTAAATAAGCAGTAAAATTGAAATTTATCGCATTATCATAAATTATACAATCTTCGAATGCACCAGCCTTAGATGATTTAGAAGGAGTAGTAGTTTCACCGATCCATGGATAATTGTATTCTTTTTGCCATTGCTGATGACAATATTGCTTCATGAAGGATTCGGTCTGTTTAATTGCCAAATAGGCATCATGATTTTCGTCGATGATAGAATTGAGGGTTGGCTTTCCAACTAATTGGGCGGCTGATTTAGCCAATTCAACAACCTCGTTAGGTTCAACACATTTGATAACTTCGCCAACGTATTTGTCAGTTGATTTAGAAACAGACATTTTTGGAAAATTTCTTTGTAAAGGGGCAGAAAATTATTATATATATATATATTATTTTCTTTTTACTTTTATCAGCTTGAGAAATGTTTTGGGGACCTTTATAAGTGTAAATTGTTATTGCGACGTGATAACATAATTTGGCGCTGCTTTAATTTAAATTACTTCAAAAACGTCATTACAACTAGCCGGACTAATTCGAGTTAAATGATACGTAATTATGATAACGTTTTTGGTTTAATGCGGATATGAAAAAAAAAAGTCACAAGGATTTAGCATACATTAAGCGAAATCGTTCACTTATTATACGATCTGTAACTATGAGATATTTTCTATAATAAAATGGCGCTAATGGTGTTGGCGTGCTCAAAATAATGGTAATCTCAAACACATGTTCTTGTAACATACCTTCTGAATATATAAATGAACCTTTTTTTCATTTTCGCAGTTCTCCGAAATCGGTCTAAACTCTTTTATCTCGATTACGTACTTCAACTTTAATGATGATCACTCTTGTGATCACGTATAACATTTCAGCAATTCTCCAATTCTCCTTACATTTTTCTTTCAGGCACCTTTTTTTTTTTTACCTTTGAGTTATGGGTCGAAAGTCAAAGAACATTAACAAAAATAACCAACCACATACTCAAGTTGGTTCCTCTACGCATCAACAAACAACTCAAATACAAGTAACTGAGCCCCCGAACAAACGTAAAAAACGTATTCTACCATCTGAACAGGTTGTTCAAGCTCAACAACCGAGGCAATCAGTTTTTGAACGCCTTGGCACAAAACTTTCCGGAACTGCGCCCATACTTAGACAGTCCACAGTTAAGAAAGATATCAAAGATCTTTCGTCTGAGAATGAAACTGCTCGTAAAACAAAGAGACTTTCAGACGTACGGAAGGTGAATAAAGTTGATTCTGAACTTATGAACATTATGAACCATATATAAAGATCATATAAAAAAGTAATACAAATTAGAAAATGTATTAGTATCTTAGTATCATTTATTAATCGTTATTTATTATAAAACTTGAAAGACTGATTTTGAACAGTTGGAAGGTGAACCTAGACAGCAAGATTTAACAAAACCAAAAGAGCGTCAACACGACGTAAAGAATAAACCTGAGGGAGTCTCTAAGAGGATTGTTCCAAATTCAAAGCCTAATTCTAATATTATCACTAAAGATGGAAAGCGAGAAGAATCTAAACCCGGAAATCCACTTTGGCGAAACTCACCTAAGCAACACGAACAAAAACAACCTGCAAAAAAAGATGAATACATAGACCCAAAGATTACTTCGTCTTTAAGGTAACCCTTACGTTAAAAAAAAAAAGAAAACATATTGTATATTTTTTACTTTAAAAAAAAATTATAAATTATTTATTTATTATAAAAAAAAAATGAATTAGTCCAACGGAGATACAAGAAACAAAAGAAGAGGACATAAAATCTTCTCATGAAATATCTCATGTTGAACTATCATTACAATCGTCTAAAGTACACGACGTCCAAAATGCTGAACAACCCGTGAATGACATCAAAGACACTGAAACACAAAAGACAAGTGAGATTGATCAAATAACGTCAGAAAACCTTGAAAAAAGTGTTGGTTCGTCCGAACTTATTGTTCAGCAACAAAATAATGCCGTATACGAACATATATCTGGGTTGGCACAATCTGATCATGAATCAGATATAGCAAAAGAAGATGTCGTATCGATCCAAGCTGACGACGATTACTTAATTGGTATTGAAGATGAAGATCAAGAAGATCCTTCACTACCAGTCAATAGCGAACAACAGATGAATCGAGATTTTGGTGAGTCACACGAAACGGGTCAGCCTCCTCTACGAAATATTCCTCCTAATCCTGATTCTTATAAAGATCGTGAAAGAAAAGACCATGGAAGGAATAAGGACATTGATATCGTCAAAGACATACCGTCAAGAATGCGTAATCGAGCTGCCAATTCTGATGATGGACGTACTTCTGATAGGAGCTACGAGCGTCCTAGTCGGGAAACTTCCATCCAACAATGTCACGTAGACGATCGCAGAACTCGACTCTACGAAAGAGATATTCGTGAACGTGAAAGGGAGGAAAGATATAATCGTGCAATAGCTACCGACCGTGCACATGATGACAGAATTTCCGACCGAGATAGACGTGAAAGGGAGCGTCAAGACCGTTATAACAAAAGTTTATTGGAAGATAAAGCGCATTTGGACGTCCCACGTCGAGATCGTTTTCAACGTGAAATTGAACGAGGCCGAAATGATCATGGCAATCGAACTCCTAATGCTGAAACTTCTTCAAACAGCACCATTCGAGGCGCAGCAAGTAGATCTCCCAGTGATTCTGATCGTGATCGAAAACCTCCGAGTAGAGCACGGTCACTTGAAAGAATTAAGAGAGAAGATAGAGACATCCGGCCACTTGATGATATTTCATGGGAGCATAGACAACCACATCAAGATTTCCAAAGGGATCGAATTTCTCGTCAGCGTGAAGATTTGTCTAATAGAGATCGTGATTCAAGGATTCGAGATTTGTCAAAAGAAAAGGATCTCTCAAGAGACAGAGTCGATCTTCCAATGCAAGATCGAGATTCTATGAATTTCCGTAGAGGTGATCAAATGGATGTTGCTTTTCGGCGCTTAGATGAAAGGGTATCAGTATCCAACGTTCGTAGGCTCGGCGACCCCCGTAATAATCCTGGCATTCCTGATAGGAATCAGAGAGACCCTCCGCCTCGTGATAGAGAAAAGGATAGCCATTACCATCGCGATCAAGCTTTGAGATCTGAATCCATTCGAAGAGAAGAACGTCAACCAATCGTTCGCCCCAAGAATGAAACTCAAAATGACACTGTTTTTCAGGATAATCGAGATAGGGAACCGAGGCAACGAAATTCCCAATCTAATACTCCGATTGATCATGACCATCGTCCTGATAAACGAAAGAGAGAAGAAATTGATTCTAATGATCGCAAAGTTTATTATGATAGGGAACAAAGGAATGATTCAAACTCTTTCAATCAACGTATTCCTGACTACCGTGTTAGGGATAAAGATAGAGAACAACGTCATCGCGAAGATTATCCTGCGAAAGTTGGAATTAATAGAGATCAGGATAGAGATCGCAAGGAAGACCGAGTTTCACCAATACACGAACGTAACGTTGGTTTACCCGACCTTTATCGACCTTCAGCGGAACATCATTTAAAAGAACCTGATCGCCGACCAATCCGGGAGTATGAAAGAGATGTCGGTGCTGATAGATTTCGGACTGATTATGACCGAGAAATTCGAGATCGACTTCGTGACGGCCACGAAAGTCCAAGTAATTCCGTTGAGAAAACTGATGCTCAAAAGAATTTGTACGATCGTCATCGAGATTCTGAAAAAAGAATGGGACGTGATGTAGATGATGACTCATTGTCTCGTACAAATAGACCAGATCCTACGCGGCGCGTTGATATCGAGAGGTCCCCGACTGTCATGGACAACCAACGTGATAATACCCGAGACTTTGTTCAAGAAACGCACATGCGTGAAGATAAGAGTGGAGATTCTCAAGATCGAAATACGAAGGAGTCGAAGAAAGCTCTGAACAAAGAGGATGAGGAATTTTTACCTCATCCTTGGATAAAATGCAAGTCTAGTAAGAATAAAGATTATTATTTTAATACACAAACTCGCGAGTCTCGATGGAGTCATCCTTTTCCTTTAGAACCCGAGAATGGAAAGAATTGTCAGACTCAGAGTGGTCAAACCGATGGTAATAAAACCATCGATTTTGATTCTCGTAAGGTCCAGGATGAATTCGATAGTCCTCGCAAAAAGATTCGCTTGAATGAAAGCGGAGATGGTAATGCTACAAATACTGACAATCGTAGCTTCCAAGAGAATCCTCAAATTGGAAATGAGGATAAAACATTAAAAACCATCAACGAAAATGAAACTTCCAATAAAGATGTTTCTTTGATCGTTGATAAAGCGGCATTTCTTCCTTCAGAATCATCATCCAGACTGCCTCGTAGCAACACTACTAACGACACGGCTCTTTCGTTTTCACCTTCAATACCACAAGCTCAATCTTCTCCCGGAATGACATCTGTATTCTCACCACCACATCGTTCGATTTCTTCCGGATACAATGAACGACGATTTAGTGCCGATTATGGCATACAATCAAGTCCACGAAAAGGATCTTATGCTGGGTCTCAGCCACAATCTCCTCAATTGTCATCCTCAAGGCCAAGCTCAAGTCCATTTAATCGAAGTGGATCTGTTGACTTGTACGATCGGAACGATGTCTTTCGCAATGACGATTTTATTTCTAATCGTTCGCTCGGAGACCCACGTAATATCACAAATCCAAGTGGTAATAACAATAGCGGAATGGTGACGCCAACATATTCCGGATCACCGGTTCGTTCAAATCGACCTGGAATGTATAACTCGTTCGGGATTGACCAAAACACTTCTCCAGGAAACAGACGTTCTCGTGATTTACCAACTTTTTCACAGCATTCTCCAGCATCACGAAGGACCATCCTTGAAGAAGAACGTCAGTTATATGAAGAACAAAATACAGAGATTGAAGGATTACCGATCAGCGAAGTCCACGTTCCTGAAAGATCCGAAATGGACATTGATGTTCAAATGACAAATAACGGACAAGATGTTGAAACTGTTACCGAACAAAATATTGGCGAAGAATCTGACGAAGATACTTGGCGGTCGGATAATGAGCTTACCGAATATGGAGCGTCCGAAACCGAGCCAGTTTCAATTTTCTTGTTCCGTCGTGCAGGTTCAAGAATGAACCAAGCTGGGGTCAAAAAGAAATATTTGAACTCAAGAAAAGAATACGAGTTGGTGAAAACCATTTATGGTGGAAAGGGAATGCAACGATTTAAGGTAAATTATCATGACTTACTTTTATTTAATTAAAGTTTTCTTATTTTACATTATTACTAATTAAAATTG